GAGGACAGACACAGACGCCGTCAGCCTGGAGAGTGTCCCCGAGGACAGACACAGACGCCGTCAGCCTGGAGAGTGTCCCCGAGGACAGACACAGATGCCGTCAGCCTGGAGAGCCGTTGGGACTCGCTGCTCGAGGAGGTGAGTGTGAAAACACAGACAGTGTGAGACAAGGGGGAGAGGGCTTTCCGTGCGTTCTCTTCTCAAGGGAACGGGCAGGGGCCCCCCAGGAGGCCTGTGTGCTCATGTTCTGCACGAATGAGGTAAGAAAGAGAGAGCATGTGACAGTGTGTGAGTGTGAGTGAGCGTAAGTGCGTGTGGGAGTCATGATTGTGTGTGTGTGGTGTGGGTGCATGTAAGTGTGTGTGTGAGGGTGAGTGTGTGTGTGAGTGAATGTGTGTAAACATGTGTGAGTGTATTAGACTGTGAGTGTGCAAGTATGTGTGAGTGTGTATGTGTGTGTGGGAGTGTAAGTATGTGTGTGACTGGGTGTGTATGAGTGTGTGTGTGAGTGTGTGTTTGTGAGTGTGTGTAAGTATAAGCGTGTGAGTGTGTCTTCCCACAAGCAGAGTGGTATGGTGGGAAGGACACACGTGTTTTGCACACATTTCATTCCCCAGGACATTCTGGTCCTGCAGTGGGGTGGGGTGGGGCCATGGCATAGCCAATGTCCGCGGCTGCCACCTTGGGCTGCTCTCTGGACCTTGGGGGCCCCTTCTCCTCCGTGGGCCTCCTCTCTCACCCGCCAAGCCCTAGGGGATGAAGACGCCCCCTGGATGGCTGATGGGAGCCCCCAGGAGGTGAATGAGGAGGCAGCTGGCTGGCCTGGACGCCGTGCCCCTGGCTCTGGGTGTGGGCACGCCCAGCCTACCTGTGTTTGCCCTCCCCCTGCTGGGCTCCTTGCAGTTGGGTGAGGGTGTCTGGGGCCCGTCCTGCACCCGCCACACTCCGGGGGGGGGGGCGGGCAGGAGAGCAGGGGCCGAGGCTGGGCCAAGGAGGGGGCGCTGTGACAGAATCAGGAGTGCAGCACGGGGGTGAGGTGAGCAGCGTGTTGGGCTGGGGTTGGAGAAGGGGCCGCAGCACAGTGCCCGCAGTGCCAGAAGCTGCCTGGACACTCGCCCTTCCTGCCCAGGAGGAAGAGGAGGCTCAGAGAGGAGACCCCAGGGACAGCACGTGTGCAAAGCCACACCGCTGGCTCGCAGAACGCCAAGGTGGTGGGCGGGGCTCGAACCCTGTCCAGTACTGCCCCCAGCCAAGCAGAGGTCCCCCGAGGGCAGGGAGGCTGCCGGGCAAGGAAGCGGCAGGAGATGGTGGGGACCTCCTGAGCAATGGGCAGCCGAGAGGCGGGAAGGGCGCTGCAGCAGCAGACGGACTTGTCCCTCAGAGGTCCCAGGGGCTCACCAGAACATGTGGTCCTTGGTCACGCGCTCCTGCAGAAGCGTCCACTGCTTCCCCAAGTCAGACGACACGTAGAGCTTCGGGCAAAGAAAGAAACAGAAAGTTTGGTTGTGACATCAGGAATCACGTTCCAGGAGGCGGCCATCATACCTGACACGGCCCAGCTTCAGGGCCTGCTCAGCACCCGGCACCCGCTGACACCCTGGGCTGCCCGTGGGGCGACCTTGGTCCCTGGGAGGCAGGGAGGGGTCGAGAGCCAGTGCAGGAGAGAAACTCTCTGGTGACGTCCAGGGGCCAGGGTGTGCCTGAGAGCCCTAACTCAGGAGGTGTCTCACAGTGTATGTGCAGGGGGGTGGGTGGGAGAGACTCCAGAATGGGGAGCAGCGTGTGCAGAGGGCAGAGGTGTAAGGGGGGGCTGGGGACGGACGCGTGCCTCAGACTCGGGGGTGGGCTTCGTTATATACGTCTGTGCGTGCACACAGGCACACATACACACGCACATATGCACACAGCCACGCAGGCACAGGCACTCCCGCACACGCACTGTGCTTGTACACCCACGTGTACACACACGAGCACACACATACACAGACCACAGACACGCATATACACCCACATGTGTGTTCACACACACCATAAAATGGGAAACTCCCCTGCACAGATGAATGAACAGAAGCTCAGAGAGGTTAAGCTGCTCAAGGTCACACAGTCATTCCATCTCACACACCTGAGCTTACAGTTACATCCCGGTGGCTGAGGAGCCTCCCCCAGGAAGGACGACCAGTCACCTCCAGTCCTTCCTTGGGTCACCTGAGGAACCCAGGCCAGGCCTTCCCACGTTCTGTCTCAACGTGCCCACCTGCAGACTGGGAGCACACCGCCTGCCTGTCCACTCGGCCGTCAGTGGATCAAAGCCGAGCATGCAGCCATCGGTTCTGTGATCCGGGCGCTAAGCCCCCTGCACTAACGAGCGGCGTGAGCACTGCCATCACGGCAGCACCTTCTGTTTATGACGCCTGCCCCGCAACTTTGTGAAGCCTCTCCAACTCCCTCTCCTGGGAGGTGATTTATAATTCGCCATCAACTGTTGCAGAAACGTGCCATTTCTGCTTAGTAAAAGACAAACACCAGCAAATAAACACATCCGTGATGTTCCCAGTACCCACAGCCAAAACCAGTACACGCGTCTGTGTGGGGTTAATCTAATTGTTTTTAGGGTGCACGTCTCGAAAAAGACGGGCAGCAGCAATACAGAGACTACTCGGAGAGAAAGATAAACCAGCGAGCGGTCAGATCCCAGCAGGGAATACCGGGGAAAGAGTCGGGGGAGACCAGGGGAAGGATCCTACTCAGAAAGGCGTGCACAACCAGCAGAGTCGCGGAATTCTGCTCCGGGCTTTTCATGGCGTGTGGACACAGTTGGGTGGTTCTCAGCATCCTTTCCGTCCTCACTCTGGGGAGGCTGGTGGCACCGCAGAGGCTGGAAGGCTAAACCACCCCTGCTCAGACTCCCTTGCAGCTAGGGTTCTGGAGCCAACAGACACACTGGTGTGGGGTGGGGAAGGCAAGAACGAGACACAGGAGTTTTCCTACCCCTTTGGGCCGTCTTGTGTCCCTGGGTGCTGCAGTTTGCGTTTGTCTACTAACCGAAAGGTTGGTGGTTCGAACCCACCCAGTGGTGCTGTGAAAGAAAGGCCTGGTGATCTGCTTCCATAAAGATTACAATCCAGGAAACCCTATGGAGTAGTTTTACTCTGTCACAAGGAGTCGCCGTGAGTCAGAATCGACTCGATGCAATGTTTTTTTTTGGGAGAAGGTTAGGCCATCATACTGGCCAGCAAAGTTCTGGAGACATACTCCCATGCCCACGCTCCAGCTCAGAGAGTGAAAAGTTGGCTGTGGTAGCGGAGGTGCTGGACACGGCGTCCCTGCGTCCAATTCCCGGCTGCGTGGATATTTCTAGGCTCTTGGTGCCGCCATGGTGCCGATTCCCAGATGCTGGCTCTTGGCAGCAGCCATGTGTTCTCAGCCTCAGTGACTTCGTGGGGGGACCCCGGCCCCCACCTTCCCAACTGTGGCAGACATGGAAGCCCCAGGGCGAGTCAGTTCTGAAGGCTACTGGGCGGCACCCCTGGGGTCTAGCCTGAAGCCCCTCCCTCAGCCCTCCTCAAGTTTTTGAAAGCACCAATTTCCCATGTTAAATCCTTTTTTTTTTTTTTTTTTTTTTTGCTTAAAATACCCATAATTCTGTTTCTGGCCCTGAGCCCTGTCAGGGCAAAAAGGAATGGACGGTGAGGTCTGAGAGTCTTGTTGCTCACAAAGTGGTCCTGCTTCTGAAGAGAAGCACGTTTTCTTCCTGCTGCTAACCTCTGAGGTCCCAGGGGGCTCTCAACTGCCTGCACAGCTCACCGCCCACAGGGCGGTTCACTGCCTGCTGACCCTCATGGCGCCCAGCCGCCGGCGAAGCGCCCTACCCACGCTGCAAGGACTTTCCCCTCCCACGCCCATACCCTGCTGTTTCTCGAACGTGGATCCTGCACACGCTGTTTGGTTTAGGGCTGCAGGTGCACTGGCGTCTATGTTTCCCTCTTCTCTTGTGCGGACATCTTTGCTGTTCTAAAGCTGCGTTAAAGAGTAAATATACACTTTGACCCCTTCTTTAAGCTCCTCTTCAAATACCACCTCCTCCAGGAAGCCTCCCATGATTGCAAAAGTGTCTTCTCTCCGCCATTCAGTTTCTGGAGGGTAGAGGTGTCAGAGCCTGAACCCCCCCAGTAGCCAGGAGCCTTGCCTGGCCAACACCAGCAGGGCCAGCGCCATGAGCGGAAAGTAACGCCTGTCATTGTGGGCAGTGGAGGTTGGTGGCCGGGCTTTACCCAGCATTACAGTAGCAGGCGCCTGCTTAATACAGCAGGTCAAGAGCTGGTGGTACTGCCCCGCAGCACCCTGCTTCTTGGAAGTGAGAGAGCTTTGAAAACCACAAAGCCCTAAAGAACCGACACTCTAGTACCATCGTTATGAATTCCCTCAAATCCCTCATTCCTTGTGTGGCCGCAACTAAGACCTTCTTCCCCCCTTTTCCATTCCTTGTAGCCACAGAAAGAACCAAGGAAAATAACCAAGGCTTCAGCTCCATTAATTTTGCAGGGCACCATAAATTGAAGAGCAATTGCAATGCAGTCGATTTCTGCAGGAAGGTACGTCTTCGCAATTGTGCTTTGGTCTAAGTACATGGAAGGCTAAGCAGCGCTATTAATACCCGGGAGCACAAGCTGTCTCCGGGGAAGGTGCCTGGAGCAAAGAGTCAGCCAGGAGGCCAGGGCAGTGCCGGGCTGTAGTCAGCAAGGACCAGATGGTGGTAGGGAGGCCAGGTCCTCTTGAGAGCCGTGGCTCAGTGCAGCCAGAGTCTCCATTTGGAAGTCCCTGGTCTGGCTGGTCCCTATCAGTAAAATTTATGAATTCATTCATCCATCCATCCAACGACCATCTAGTCATCCATCCATCCACTCATCCTTCCAGCCATCGTTCCATCCTTCCAGCCATCCATCCTTCCTTCCTTCCATCCATCCATCCATCCATTCATCTTCCTTTCTTCTATCTACCCACCCTTCTTCTCATCCATGTTTCCATCCCTTCATCCACCCCACACCCATTCATCTATCCATCCATATATCCATCTACCCCCTCTCATCCATCCATCCATCCATCCATCCATCCATCCATCCATCCATCCATCCATTCAACAAATATTGTCAGCCAGGCACCTGAGATAAAATGGCAAGAAAATCAGACAGAGTCCCTGACATCAAGGAGCCTATCCTGAGCGTGTGTGTAGAGTACAGATGATAATCAGACAAGGCCATCAGTTTACAAAGACACACCGCAATACTTGCTGGCAAGGAGAGACACAGGGATCCACAAGAGTGTGGAACAGCGGGGCCCAAACTGGCTGGGGTGCGGAGGGAAGGCTTCTACTCCAACAGCTCCCATGTGCCATCTAGACCCGTGCTCTGCCCCTCTGCACCCTGCTCTGTCCCACAGGGCTGACTTGTTTAGACTGCACCCACAGGCTCCATCCCTCTGGCTTCCAGCTGGGTTTAGCCAATGGGAGGCACCAGCAGGAGATTAGCAGGCAGGAGGAGAGAGAGATCACGGTATTCTTACCCTTGTTCTCTGCCTGCTCAGCTGCACTGTGACAGTAGCTGAGTTACTCTATTCAGGGTCATGCTTCCTAGTGGGTCTTCCTACAGCTATAGACCTCCTTCCATGGGTCCCTCCCTACAACTATGGAGGCCACAGCCCCTATTGAGTCTTTCTACAATGATGGAGGGCACAGCCCCTATCGGGCCCCTTCTGATAAGGAAGGCACACTCTCTCCTCACTCCCTAGGACCTGGGTGGTACCAGTTCCCTACTGATGCCAATTTCAGAGTGCCAGACCAGGGTGGTCCACTCAGCCCCACTCACATATCTGTTCAGATCCCCATCCATTAAATCTCCCTGACCAATCCTCAGGAAGGTGCATTGGCTTCCGGGGGCCTTGGTGGACGTGGCTCCCCAGGAGGGTGTCTGCCTGTGGGGGCCTTGGTGGACACAGCACCCCAGGAGGGGGTGTCTGCCTGTGGGGGCCTTGGTGGACACAGCACCCCAGGACGGTGTCTGCCTATGGGGGTCTTGGTAGACACAGCTCCCCAGGAGGGGGTGTCTGCCTGTGGGGGTCTTGGTGGACACAGCACCCCAGGAGGGGGTGTCTGCCTGTGGTGGCCTTGGTGGACACAGCACCCCAGGAGGGTGGGTCTACCTGTGGGGGCCTTGGTGGACACAGCTCCCCAGGACGGTGTCTGCCTATGGGGGTCTTGGTAGACACAGCTCCCCAGGAGGGGGTGTCTGTCTGTGGGGGCCTTGCCGGACGCAGCTCCCCAGGACAGTGTCTGTCTGTGGGGGCCTTGCTGGACGCAGCTCCCCAGGAGGGGGTGTCTGCCTGTGGTGGCCTTGGTGGACACAGCACCCCAGGAGGGTGGGTCTACCTGTGGGGGCCTTGGTGGACACAGCTCCCCAGGACGGTGTCTGCCTATGGGGGTCTTGGTAGACACAGCTCCCCAGGAGGGGGTGTCTGTCTGTGGGGGCCTTGCCGGACGCAGCTCCCCAGGACAGTGTCTGTCTGTGGGGGCCTTGCTGGACGCAGCTCCCCAGGAGGGTGTCTGCCTGTGGCTGCAGCATGGTCACCGCCCTTGACGAAGGTTGTGGGAGAGGGTTCCAGGCTGCGGGAGAGGGTTCCAGGCTGTGGGAAAGGGTTCCAGTCGGGGAAGGGCAGGGCAGCGCCTGGTGTGGGGGAGTGTGGACTGTTCTCGCAGTGGAAGGAAGCCCTGTGGCTGGTGAGTCTAACCCTTCTCTGCTCTGTACTGATCCCGTCTCTGTGCCTGCTTTGTGCCAAGGGCACATCTCACTCCGTTCTCAGTGTGATGCAGACCTCATTCCCGACGGCTGACACAGGGACCATAGGATGCTGGGGAGAAGGGGCATCTCAGGGTCTGACACCTCCAAGCTCCTGGGCAGCTCCTCCCCGCCCAGCCTTGAGTCCCCCGAGTCCCACTTCCCTTCCTCACGACATGGATTCAAACAAGCTAACCGCAGCCAGTCGGTTCAGGATAGACGCTGGTTCCCCAGGCCCTTCAGGAGGTGCCATGCGTGGTTACCTTGCTCTCCTTGGTGTAGGCGAGCACCTTGTCCTCCTCCTTGGGGTGGAACGTCAGGGTCTCCACAAGGAAGGAGGTGAGCTGCTTCTGGAAAGTGGCTCCCTCGTCGGTGCTCAGGAAGAGGCTCTGGTCCCGGTCGCCGAACGACGAGCTCACCAGGATGATCTGGAAGACAAAGAGGGGCATGTTGAGCGAGGGGAGAAACGAGGGAATGAGTGAGTAGATGAATGAGTGAACACCGTGTGCTGGCAGAGCAGGGCTAGGGGCACATGCCAGCTCACCAGGATGATCTGGTTCAAATCCCGTGCACGTGTGCCCTCAGACAAGCTGCCTGCCTCTCTGTGCCTCAGTTTCCTTATTTATAACATAGGAGAAATCACACTGCCCCTCCCAGGGCTGCTGTGAGGACGACATAAGACAGAGAGTGGGAGGTCCTTCCCACAGACCCGGGCCCTGAGTGGGCTGTTGGCAAGTGTGTTAAGAGGGTGATTAGGGGTCTCCATAAGAGCCCGAAGAGGGAGCTCTCACTGGACTATGGCAGATGGGGAAACTGAGGCACAGAGAGGAGAAGCAAACCACCCAAGGGCACACGGCCAGTTGGGACAGAGCCAAGGTCTGGACCCAGCACCTGACCCCAGTGCCCTGCCCTTGGCTCTGTGCTCTTGAGTGGATCAAAGCAACCCACTGATAAGATACAATTGGTTTCCATTTGTCTGGAGCAAAAGAGAAAGAAGGAAACCCAAGAATCAGAGAAGGAGCCTGATTACAGGACGAATTGTCTCCATGAACCTCAGCGTCCTCTGCCCTGAGATCAGAAGAACTAGATGGTGCCCGGCTGCCACTACCTGACGTTGTGATTAGGGACACAACAGATGAATCCTGATAGAAGGGGAGAGAAATGGGGAACAGAACTTCAAATTCGTAAAGAATCCAGACTTAACTGGACCCATTGAGGCTGGAGGAATCCCTGAGACTATTAGTGTGAGATACTCTTTAAACCTTGAACCAAAACTATCCCTTCAAGTCACCTTTTAGCTAAATAGCAGGTTAGCTCAAAAAGTAAAGAACGTCACGTTTGAATACTGAGCTCTTTTAAATATTATCTACATGAGAGGAAATGCACAACACTTACTCTAAAGCGTGGACGAGAAGGTTGGGGGCAGTGAGACGAACTTAACGGGAACGGAACCGCCAGAACGGAAGTAATGAGACCCCCGACACACTGTGCAGAACGTAACCAATGTCGCTGAACATTCCGTGCAGAAATTGTTGAGTGGGAGTGTGTTTTGCTGTGTATACTCTCACCAAAAGTACAAGAATTAAAAAAAAGCAATACTCTGAGGTTTAGCTGGGCCTGGAGCTGGGAGTGGGCGAGCCAGCTCTCTGGAGAGACGCAGGAACCTGGGGAGGCCATCCCATCCTGAACCTTCTCCAGATGACAGCTGAGCACATGGGCCTGAATCCATCGTCTGCGCTGAGCACCTGTCTGCTGGTGAACAAATGCGAATCCAAGGAGCTTTCTCTCTGGGGAAGCTTGATGGGCCCCCCCGGTAACTGGTTCACGTGTTCCAGCACGAAGCCCCTGCCTCCCCAGCAAACCGAGAGTCGGAAGGAGGCCGGCGTGGCACAGGCAGATGCATTCCTAGACGATTCAGATTGAGTCAAGGCCGCTGCCCAGAAATAACCTGGGAGGTGGACAAAGACGTGTGCTCGGAGATGTTCCTCATGGTGTTGTTTGTATGCAAGGAAAACACAGGGAGCCTAGAATGGTTAAGCGGTATAGAATGTATAATAATGTTCCCAAAGAAACTTTCATGCCAAGGAAGCTTATGTACGAAATGATGAGTAAGCAAAATTTCTACGCATTTTACACTGACAGAGTCAGGAGTCGGTACATTCTGATTTCTCAGTGGTGAGGACGGAGGTATGTGAGTGTACTTTTCAGCGGAAACTGCAGAGAAAGAGGAATGAAGAGACCACAAGGGGGCATTGATACTGGCTGGTTCTGAGTAGTGAGGTCAAAAGAATTTTTTTTTTTTAAACACACTTTTTATTTTGGAATTCTTAAAAAGCAAAGATGTCATTGAGGACTAAGGTACACCTGACCCAAGCCATGGTGTTTTCAATCACCTCACATGCATGAGAAAGCTGGACAATGAATAAGGACGACCATAGAAGAATTGGCACCTTTGAATTATGGTGTTGGCAAAGAATACTGAATATACCATGGACTGACAAAAGAATGAACAAATCTGTCTTGGAAGAAATACAGCCAGATTGCCCTTTAGAAGCAAGGATGTCGATATTTCATCTCATGTACTTTGGACATGTTATAAGGAGAGATCAGTCCCTGGAGGAGGACATCATACTTGGTAAAGTAGAGGGTCAGCAAAAAAGAGGAAGACCCTCCACGAGATGGATTGACACCGTGGCTGCAACGATGGGTTCAAACCTAGCAATGATTGTGAGGATGGCACAGGACCAGGCAGTGTGTCGTTCTGTTATACACGGCGTCACTTTGAGTCGGAACCTAACAACAGCAGCATCTTGAGCAAGCCTGACATGGAGCACTAAGTACATGCCTGATGCATATGTGAATGAATGAATGAGTGAATGAGTGAATGAACAACTCCATCTCGGCTCGTGACTCCAAAGGGAATTGTTTGTTTGCTTTTCTCCTTCAGGAGGAAATGATTCTTAGGAACATTTAAGCAGCCTGAAGAGTAAAAGCCATCAAAAACCCCATCGGCTTTTTCCTCTTCACTGCTCAATGTTCATACATCAATGAAGGCTCATTCATTCATTTGTCCACAGTTGCAAAAACCATGAGGTCCAGGCCAGAATCTCGGAATACACAGGGCTGTGTGGGAGCAGAGAAGAGGGCAAACAGGTGCAGGGCAGGTATGAGGGCAAGACGGAGGGCTTCCAAGAGGAGGCGGCACCAAGTGGTCCTTGAAGAAGGGGTGGAAATTTTATTAGCTGGCCCAGGGAGGAGGCTGGTTCAGGCAGAGAGGCCTGTGTGATCGAAGGCATACAGGTGGGGGTCCTTGTCCCACCCTCCGCTCCAGCCCACCCCATTCCCCTGACGCTTCTGGTGTCAGCCCCCCACCCCTTGACGCCACACCCAACTCCTTGTGTTCCTCCAGTCACACGAGGCCACTGGCATCTCGGCCACCTTTGCTGCCCCACTCCCTCTGGTTGGAAAGCAAGGTATTATGGATTGAATTGTGTCCCCCAAAAAATGTGTGTAGCAACTTGGCTGGGTCATGATTCCCAGTATTGTGTGATTGTGTAATCTGATGTGATTTCCTTATGTGTTGTAAACTCTATCACTATGATGAGGTTATATGGGATCTCCTTATGGGTTGTAAACTCTATCACTGCGATGAGGCTATACTGATGAGGTTGACAAGATTAGATAGTGTCTTAATGCAATCTCTTTTGAGATATAAGAGAGAAGTGAACAGAGACACATGGGAACCTCATACCACCAAGAAAGCAGTGCCAGGAGCAGAGCACGTCCTTTGGACCTGAGGTTCCTGTGCTGAGATGCTCCCAGACCAAGGAAAGACTGATGACAAGGACCTTCCTCTGGAGCTGACAGAGACCGAAGGCCTTTTCCTGGAGCTGAGGCTCTGGATTTGGACTTGTGGCCTGCTGGACTGTGAGAGAATCAATTTCTCTTCGTAAAGCCATCCCCTTGTGGGATTTCTGTTGGGGCAGCACGTGATGACTAGGACCAAGGCGAGGCCAAGACGCCAACATCCCACCACAGGCAATTCAGAATCCATCAGTCACTGTTCAGAGGGACCCCAAATCCATGTGTGATAAAATGAAAACAGCTTCTTCTGCATTTTCTGAGCACAAGATTCTGGGTCACTTCAGCCAAGCTGTTTCTCACTTACTTGTGGGGTCCCTCCTTTGCAGACACCCTCAGAGTGAGTTTTGCATATTTCTATGTGGGGACACCCACCACCTTGTTATCTGCTTGTCAAACACCTCCTCGTCAAGTGCCACCTCTTCCAGGAAGCCCTCCACGATGCACATCCCCCAGCAGAGTGGCACCCTCCCGCCTCGGCCCGCCCCCTCCAGCTGTTTGCAGCAGCCCAGCGTTCCCTAATGTTCTCTCTGCGGGCCTGCCTTGCCCTCTTGGCCAGGGCACCAGGCAGCCTGGCAGCGCCCATGTCGCTATCACTGGCATATCCGCAGCCCAGAGCCCAGGGCCTGGCACCGAGGAGACGCTAGTTCCTGATAAACAGTTTTTGGCGCCATTGGGAGGAGTCCTTGGGTGATGCAAAGGTCAACGCTCGGCTGCTAACTGAAAGGTTGGAGGTTTGAGTCCACCCAGAGGCACCTCAGAAGAAAGGCCTGGTGATCTCTTTCTGAAAAATCAGCCACTGAAAACCTGTGGAGCAGAGTTGTACTCTGACACACCTGGGGTCGCTATAAGTCAGGGTCAACTCGACAGCGACTGGGTCGGTTGGTTTCTAATCCCAGACTGGAGTCCCTGGCTGGTGCAAACACCCTTGGCTGTTCACTGAAAGGTTGGAGGTTCAAGTCCACCCAGAGGCCCCTCAGAAGAAAAGCCAGGTGATCGACTTCTGAAAAATCAGCCACTGAAAACCCCGTGGAGCACAGCTCTACTCTGACACACCTGGGGTTGCCACGAGTCGGGATCAACTCGACAGCAACAGGTCCCGGTGCTGCTGGGCAGAGGGCTCACCCCGCATCTCACCGAGGTGGGAGAAGGAGTTTGAGGCGGTCATTCTGGCCCGGGGCCCAGCAATCTGGAGCGGGGCTATTTCCGGCGCAGGAGCTGGAAGTTAGCCAGGGAAGAGAAAAGCTGACAAGGGCAAGATTATTGGAGCAAAGAAAACAAATCAATTAGCATCTTGCCGAGCGGAGGCTGGCAGATTGTTCTCCAAATTGGGAACCAGACTATTTTAAGTGGCATATTTTGACTGCTTGCTATTCCTAGGGAGACATATGGTACCTATGTGAGGTTCTCTGCGCTCTGGGGCTGGGTTTTGGAAATCAGATGCAACATGTTAAAGAGAAACAGTTGGCAGATTTGTCTGAAAAACAGCGGGTTGGTTTGACGCACGAGTCCCAGGAACAGCTACGTGATTTGCAGGGCCTGATGCGAAAGGCAAATGTCAGCCCCC